GGTACATGCCTTGGTCGTGAGGTAGCTGGCGGAATCCGATGCGAATGAGTCTTGCGTGCAGGTACTGCTGCCACAACCTCGGAGCTTGTTTGATGCCATAGAGCGACTTCAGCAGCTGACAGACTTGATTAGGTTCTCCGTTGGAGCCGTGCGGTAGCTCGACGAAGATTTCTGCGTCGACAGGTGCGTAGAGAAATGCGTTGGCGACGTGAATTTGCCGCAGCTTCTTCTTCTTCATGGCGGCGATCGCGAGGAGGATTCGTAATGACGTGTGTCGGCTGACTGGGGCGAATGTCTCAGTGAAGTCGCGCCCGTGTTCTTGGTCGAAGCCGCATACGACCCAGCGCGCTTTAAATTTGTTAATGGTGCCGTCTGCCTTCGTCTTCACGCGGAAGACCCATTTTCCGGTGAGAATCGTTTTGTTCCGTGCCACGCCGATGGGAACGACTTTCCAGGTGTTGCGCTCCTCTAGTGCTTTCAATTCCCTATCCATAGCTTCGCGCCATTTTTCCCTGTGCTCCCCCCCCAGAGCCTGCTGAACCGTCGCAGGCTCCTTAGGAATCGCCGCGTCGTGAACCGCGGTGACGAGCCCAAGTATCTGGAGGCCACTCTGTGTGTAGCGGGGGAGTGTTGTGTCCGCGGGATAAGCTGCTTCGTCACCTGCTTCTGGGTCAGGTATGAAGTTGGGCCCTATGCGTTCTGCTTCGTTGGTGTTGACTTCTGCAGGTGTAACGTAACCGTTGTCGGCGAAGTAAAACACTTCGGCGTTGATGCTGTCGCGAGGATTTTCGTCATCCATAGGGACGTCGACGGAGCGGTAAGGGAGAGGTCCGGCTTCCTCCAAGGCTGCATCCACGTTCTGCTCGTCCCAGTCAGCTTCGTCTGCTGCCGAGGCGAAGGCTCGGTCACCACGGAAGCCACCCGTGGGGTCCCGATCTTCTTCCAGGTTGGCAAGGTACGTCGGAAGAGTGAGTCGTTCGTAGAAAAGGACATCACGTGCTGCTACTGTTTCCTTGGAGTGGACGTCGAAAATCTTCCATGCGTTGTAATTCTTTTCGATGCCCAGGTGTAGTCCCCACTGTGCGCGTTGGGAGAATCGGCCGGCTCGTGCAGATGGGGGTCGGTACTGTACCTGCAGCCGAAGATTCGTAACATTTTTGTGCTGCCCAATTTTCCTGTCCACAGCAGATGCGGTGATGCGTTGTTCGGAAGTGATGATGACGAAAGCAAGTTGTGTAGCATGACGGCGTGGTCCATTGCTTCGGGCCACTGGTGGTTGGGTAGCCGCATGCCACGTAGCAGCTTGCGCATGGTGTTCTGGAGGGTCCTGTTCATCCTTTCTGCTACACCCTGCTGTTGATGGGTGTAAGGAAGGGAGATGAGCCTCTTGATTCCCTTCTCTGCCAGGTAGTCCTTGAAGCGTTGTGAGGTGTATTCTCTGCCTCCATCTGACTGAAAACTCTTTAGCTTCACTCCGGACTCTCGTTCTGCTGCTGGAAGCCAGGCGACGAAGGCTTCGAAAGCCATGTCGCGACTCGGAAGGTTCAGGTGCCAAACGTATCGGGTGGCAGAGTCGATGAAGGTGATGGTGTAGTTGTAGGCTCCTTGTCGTGGTACGCGATTGTACAGGATGTCGCTGTACACCTTTTCGAGCGGTGCGTATGCTGGTGCACTCGGGTTGTGGTGAGGGACAAACGGCTGATGCGGTAAGTCGGCTTCAGGATATGTGAAGCACGTTCCTTTTTCTCGTTGGAGTTCTCTCCCGTCATGTAGTAGGAGCGAATCTTTGACGAGCACTCCTGCTCTTATCGTGTTGTTTAACGTTGTGTTGCTTGGGTGTCCCATCCGTGCATGCCAGATTTCTTCGTTGGCGCGGTGTCCGGGTGAACGTCGGTACATGTCGGAGTTGGAGTAGAAGCTGGCGGTGAGGTTGGCGCTTCGATGAACTTCTCGTGGTGCCGGGTTTAGCTGTTGCGCGGGTGTCGGTGGTGTGTCATCGACGAAGATCGGTGCCGTTGAAGGACCAGCGATTGGTGTTGATGTTGCCACTGCTGTTACCGTTGTCTCTGCTGCTGTCGTTGTTGTCTCTGCTGCTGCCAATGTTGTCTCTGCTGCTGCTGATGTTGTCTCTGCGGCTGCCGATGTTGTCTCTGCTGCTGCTGATGTTGTCTCTGCTGCTGCCGATGTTGTCTCTGCTGCTGCCGATGTTGTCTCTGCTGCTGCCGATTGTTGAATTGTCGCTAACGCCCTTGTTCTTTCTGCTCCAGGGATGGTTTCCGAGTACCAGAAGCCTCCAGGACTGAAGTCTGGATCAAGATCCGGTGGATGTGTCCAAGAGGTGAAGGTGACGATTCCGTCGCTGTCTGCGGTGCTGAGATCTGGGACGAAGTCGAGGACGAAGACATTATTTTTCAAGATTGCCTTTCCGATGTAAAGACCTCCTCTCCCGTGGTACAATTTGAATTCTTAGGTGGTGCTGTCTGCTTCAAGGTGTATGCCCTTCGCCATCAGTTGGCTGACGCTCAGTAAGTTGTAACCGAGCCCTTCTACTATTAAAACCTTCGACATCTGCAGTATGACATTTGTCTCTCGTGACTGAAGTTGAACCACTCCTTGTCGTCGTGTGCGCAGGTTTTGGTTATTGGCGACGGTGATGACTACTTCGCGTTGGAGTTGGTACTCTCGCTGCACGAAGCGTCCTGAGGAACACATGTGCTGTCCGCAACAACTGTCTAAGAACCAGTTGTCCTTCCCGGATGGCTCGCTTTGGGCGATGGCTGCGTATGTTGGGTTCGGTTGAAGTGACTCGCGGCGAGGTGTGGTGTTGTCGAGTTGCTCTTCCGGTGAGTAGTGTGGCGGTGACTCGGTGATGCAGGAGTCGCTCAGTCTTGCCATACAACTGACGATGTTTCTTGCTCCTTGTGCAGGTTGTCCCATTGATGTCGTTTGAACTTGAGCGGTGGGGTTCGCTTGTGTTGAAGCGACTTGGCTGCTTGAAGGTCGAAGCTGTCGCTGTGGCGGTGTTGACTGTTGTCGATTCGGGCAGTGTGTGCGCGGATGTCCTGACGTCTTGCAGAGATGGCAGAACGGAGGTACAGGCTTTGGTAAAGTAGTTGCAACAGCAACAGTAAAGTAGTTGCAACCGTATCTCTTCGTATTCCTTGTACTCTTATATAATCTTGTATCTCTTTGCTTTAATCAATCTACTTTGCCCTCAGATACTAGTGCAAGGTGGTTCAAACACTTCTCATTAAGCTTCCGCTAATTACAACAAGTCCTACTCAGAGTTCAGCCCTGCAAAGATCCTAAGGGCTTTTCTCAGCCCAACATGGTATCAGAGCTTTGGTTGATGTCGGCTGTTGATGTTGTTGTAGCGTCGTTGAGTGTGGAAGGCGAACTCGGGTGTTGACGTCTTCCTCTTGTGTCTTTCTTCTTGTAGGTCCATGTCTTGCTGCTCGGCATGAATTTCGGCGCAGAGTGCCGCTTCGGAGATCTTCCCGTGAGCTCGGAGAATAGCTCGAGTGGAGCGCCAATGAGGACCAAGTCCAGTGATGACGACTGTGACGAAGGCTTCTTCGGAGATTGATCCTCCGCATCGAAGGAGTTTGTCGCGTAGTTCGCGGCAGCGGCTGATATACGCCATTCCCTTTTCGCCTGGTTTAATTTCGACTGTTGTTAACTGTGCCATTAGTCGACTCTGGTTGACGCTGTCTGTTGCTTGATACAGGTTCTTCAGGTGGTTGTACGCGAGCTCAGCGGAGTTGCCGTATCCCCGATAAGAGCGGATATTCTGCTGCTGGTTTGTCGTCAGGTTCCTCAACAGAATCGTGTATGCCATCATCGACTGATATGTGTACTGCTGCTTGTCGTATTGCGTGCCGTTTGTTGGATATGGCAGGGACCCGTAGAAGAAGCCGAGAATCTGCGCGCCTTCCATCATCAATTCGAACTCGAATGACCAGGTGAAGAAGTCCTTTCCGTCGAAGGGTCTTGACGTCTGTAGTTTTAAGACATGCGCGAACTGCGACTGAACTTGAAGTGCGTCCAGTGTCTTCTCTTGTCCAGGTGCAGGCTGTGGTTGTGGCATAAAGCTGACGGAGCCGCGTTGGGGCTCGTACGGAGCAAAGGTAGGCTGCTGCTGTTGATTTCCTCGCGCGTAGGATGACCCGTCGAGGCTCATGGGCGTCACATCGTTGTTGTTGTTGCTATTGTTTGACTGCGCAGGTGCCGACTGTTGGTGCTGCTCGTAGAGGACATGAAGGAGAAAAACTTCTCCATCATGTTCTGATTGAAGCGTGCAGGTTGATTCGCGGGAGTCTCGGTAGAAGTTCCTCTTGGTCTTGTTGCCGTACCCTCCTCTGTCTGTAGGCCAGAGGCAGGAGGTGGAGTAGGAGTAGTACCCGGGGAGCCGTTAGAGGAGCTCCTTTCCTTTTGTGTTGCCATGCCTTCTGACGTTGTAGATAACTTGATAGTAGTTGAGTTCCCCCTGTTAGCTCTCATACCATGTTGGGCTGAGAAAAGCCCTTAGGATCTTTGCAGGGCTGAACTCTGAGTAGGACTTGTTGTAATTAGCGGAAGCTTAATGAGAAGTGTTTGAACCACCTTGCGCTAGTATGTGAGGGCAAAGTAGATTGATTAAAGCAAAGAGATACAAGATTATATAAGAGTACAAGGAACACGAAGAGATACGGTTGCAACTACTTTACTGTCGCTGTTGCGGTTCGATACAGTGACGACTCGGGCAACTGCTCTGTAGCGAGTCAGTTGTGTGTCCTTGCTGTCGCGCTGTACTTGTCAGGTCAAAGGTCGCTGACCTTTGACTTTCGCGTAACCTCTAGCAACTGCTCAACCTCCGAGGGTTGACTCGCCGGTGCTTCGATATACTTAGCTTCGCTTCTGACTTGGTGTTTCGACACGACAGAGGCGCTTAGAATTAGTTGTTTCCAACATTAGGGTCTTCAATCCTGGGCATTACCGTACCAGGGAAATTGACATGAGCCTTATCGAGCGGACTTTTTCACAGTAGATGGTGGTGGAGGTGGAAGCTTCCGCTTCATTCTAGTACTCTTGAGAGGAGGGGGAGGGGGCGGGCGCCTCCTCTTTGCTCCATCCTTCTTGGAACCACCTGGGGGAGGGCTCTCCTTAGGCTTGCTGCTTTTTGGCGGGGGCGGGTGCTTGCTGCCAGTGCTGTGCGGGGGTGGGGGGCTCTTCCTCTTGCCTTTTTTCGGAGGTGGCTTCACCTTCTCCCCACCGGATTTTGGTGCTTTGGGGCTGCCTCCCCCTTGCGCGCTTGACAGCTTTGGGGGTGGTGGGGGTGGGGAAGGTGGGGGGCGAGGGGGTTTAGGAGGGGGGCGAGGGGGTTTAGGAGGGGGGCGAGGAGGCCTTGGGGGAGGCTTAGGCGGACTGGGTGGGGGCCGAGGAGGAGGGGAGGGCGGTGGCTTTGCTGCTCGTGGGGGCGGTGGCTGCGGGGGTGGGGAAGGGGGCTTCGGGTGTGACGGCGGGGGCTTTGGAGGAGGGGACAGCTTGGGGGGAGGGCTGGGGGGGCGAGGAGGAGGAGATGGAGGCCTAGGGGGAGGGGATGGGGGCTTAGGGGGAGGGGATGGGGGGCTGGGGGGAGGGGATGGGGGCTTAGGGGGAGGGGCTGGCGATTTAGGGGGAGGGGAAGAGGGCTGAGGCGGAGAGGGTGGGGGCTGAGGGGGAGGAGAGGGGGGTTGACGGGAAGGTGATGGGGGGCTAGGCGGGGGCACAGGTGGTGGGGATGGGGGACGGGGCGGGGGTGAGGGAGGTGGATTAGGGGGAGGTCGAGGGGGAGGATTAGGAGGAGGCCTGGGGGGAGAATTGGGGGGAGGTTTGGGGGGAGGACTGGGAGGGGGTTTAGGGGGCGGATTGGGAGGAGGTCTGGGGGGAGGACTGGGAGGGGGTCTGGGGGGCGGGTTGGGAGGGAGGGGAGGGGAGGGAGGAGGAAAGGGTGGGGGAGGCGGGGCGAGTGAGACAAGAGATTCGACAGTGAAGGAGGGCACAACAGCAGCGGACTGCACGAAGCCAAAGGAGATGGAGTCGTTGGGGGCGAGGTGCGTGGCCCACCAGGGCAGCTGGCAGGAGAGCGCGTCCATGTTCCACGCCTGTGACGGCTCAAAGTCATGGCAGCGCAGGCGGAAATCGCGCACGGGGAAGGCGCTGCCCGTGTTGGCCACCACGCACGACCACCGGCTCTGCTGCTCGCCGTACTGCTGCCACCCGCCCGTCACCTCACACGCCACCGTCACTAGCGCTGCTGGGTCCACAGTGGGGCCCGCTGGGGACGTGGGAGGAGGAGGCGGCGACGGGCAGAAGAAGGAGGACACGGAACAGAGCGGAGGCGGGGAGGCGGGTGGGCGTGGAGGGGGGGAGGGAGGTGCAGGGGGGAAGGGAGGTGGAGGGGGAGCGGGGGGCAGGGTGCCAGCAGCGAGCCTGGCGAGGAGGCCGACGGCAGGTGCGTTGGCGCATGCTGATGGCTCTGTGAAGGATGGCAGCACCCGCGAGTCCTGGAACGCATCGCTCTGCCATGCCATGTGCGCAGGGACCCGGGCAGAGAGAGGGCCGAGGGCAGAAGTAAGACAGAGGACAGGCAGGGGGCAGACAGAGGGCAGACAGAGGGCACACAGAGGGCAGACAGAGGGCAGACAGAGGGCAGACAGAGGGCACACAGAGGACACACAGAGGGCAGACAGAGGGCACACAGAGGGCACACAGAGGGCAGACAGAGGGCACACAGAGGGCAGACAGAGGGCACACAGAGGGCACACAGAGGGCACACAGAGGGCACACAGAGGGCACACAGAGGGCACACAGAGGGCACACAGAGGGCACACAGAGGGCACACAGAGGGCACACAGAGGGCACACAGAGGGCACACAGAGGGCAGGGGTGAGAGCAGAGGTGGCAAGTAGTGCGAGGGTGCAAGCACATAACAACAGGCAGGTGGCTCTGTGAAACAGCCTGCACTGACCCTGCCCAGTGCCCTTGATATTGGCACAACCGTGGGCCCTGGGCTAGAAAGCCACTGCCACTGCCAAAGCCAAAGCCACGTGCAGTGCACTCACGGCATCGGGCCCGCCCACGATGGCGCCCACGAGCACGTTGGGGTTGGCGGCGTCGCGGTTGAGCCAGTCCGCCACGCCGCCCTCACACGATGGACGCGGCGCGGTGGTGCACGCGCAGGGGGAAGGAGGAGCCGAAGCCCACCATGAAGGAGAGGCCCAGGGGGTTGCTCCCCAGCAGGTAGTCCACCTGCGGGCAGTGGACGCACACACATGCAGAGAGGCGCGCTCAACCATTTGCGCATGCACTGGCAGCCGTGAAGGAGTGAGTGGGGGAAGGTGATGAGGGAGGGCCCAACCATGCTTAACCAACAGCAAGTTGAAATTGGACACAGTTAGAGCGGAAGGTGGTGCGAATGGCACAACTTGACAGGTGCATGGGGCGATCAGCGTGGGAGACACTGCAGGGCGCGGAGCGAGCGTCACCTGCGACTGGGCGAAGGCCAGGATGGCGGGCGGCGCGAACGTGACTCCCTCGCACTGCACGACCTGCGCGCTGCCCGCGAGCGAGTCCGAGTGCAGCGCCAGCAGGAACGCAGCGCCGAGCGCGAGCTGCGCGTTGCTGGCACGCACGTGCAGCAGCCCGCCAGGCGTGGTGTAGACGGCGCGCAGGGGGTTGGCGGGCATGTGCGCGCACACGAAGAGGTCCGCCATGCCGCGGTACCCCTCCAGCACCGCCATGGCCGCCACGCTGGTCGAGAGCGCCGCGGGCACGCCTTGCAGCATCATCTGCGCGCGCGGAGGGGGGAGCAGGTACTTGGAATGTGGGGGGCAGAACCGGCCGTGACAGCAGGGGGTACCGTAGTGTGGGGAGAGACGAAGGAAGGCTGGGCAAGTGGGGCAGGGAAGCGGCGGGAGTGGAGGGAGGGGCGGGGCCATGGGACATGGGAGAGGAGGGGAGTGGGGGCAGGGGCAGGGGAGCGACCTGCGCGATGAGCACTTGCACGCCGGGCAGCTTGTGCTGCCAGCTCATCTCCAGCTGCAGCTGCTCCGAGCCGCGTATCCACGCGTCGTTGGCGACGAGGTAGTCGACGTACACGGCGTACCCCGTGGCGCGGTGCAGCCACACCGCCGCCCACGCCAGCTCGTCCTGGTAGCTGCTGCCCTCGCCGCTCGTGGAGAAGCGCCTCGCCTGCGGCACCGCGTCGCTGTAGCTGCCGCGGTACGTGTCCGCGAACACGAACAGCTGCGCAAGGGGGGGGGAGGTGGAGGGAAGGGAAATGAGAGAAGGCGCGTTTAGGAAGAGAGAGCGAGCATGAAGAGATGGCGGGGTTAACGGTGGATTGTGGCGATGTGATGCGACGCGACACGGTGCAGAGCGGCAGCAGCAGCGGTGCGTGACCTGTTCCGCGTGGCCCAGCAGCGTGCTGGCGTAGCTGCCGTCCACGGGCCTCAGCGCCAGCGACGCCGCAGCGAGGGCGGCGGCGGTTTCCGCGGCGAGGTCTGATCCTGGGTGCGAGGCGTTGACGCGGTACGCCGTGCGCGCCGTGCTCATGTCCTCCGGCCGCTGCCAGCACGCGCTCTCCGCCACCGGGTCGCCCACCTGGAGGGGCGCGCGGGTGGGGGGACGGGGGATACGCACCCACAAGGGCAGCCGGAGGTGAACGTGGCGAGCAGGTGCGGCGAAACATGAGCAGCTAAGAGTGGCGCTCCGAAGACCAGTCGCTGTCACTGTGATCCCGTCTTCACAGTCGTTGCCCGCGCCCGCCTCACTACCCCCCTCCTCTTCCCCCCCTTCCCCCTTTCTCTTCCCGCACGCACCTGCGCCCACAGCTCGTTCATCCCCGTGTGCGCCTTCACCAGGTAGTCCGTCGACCACCGCAGCGCGTTGCGCGCCGCCGTCAGCTGCGCGGCTCCGCCGGCCGCCTCGAGGTGGCGGCGGAAGTCGATGAGGCTCCAGGCGAGCAAGGTGGTGGCGAAGGCGGCGGGCAGCCCGTACTTGACGTTGCTGCCGCCCTCGTAGTACCCACCCTCCAGATCCACCTGGGGGCGCGGGGGGGTGAAGAAGAGAGCGGGGAGGGGCGGGGGAGAAGGGAATTCTGGTGTGAAAAGGGGCCCACTGCGCAAGGGGTCTGGTGCTGTGAAGTGGATCAGTCGGCGGGTGTGCGGCGACAATTCCACGCATGTTGAGGGTGCGACTGATGCGACAGGCTGCTGGCGTGCGAGAGACGGTTACACTCGACTGCGGGGCGATCACAGTGCCTCAGCAGCAGAGGGAGCAGCGCGCGCTCTCACCATCTGCGCCGCGCCGTCGCCGAGGCCCGAGTTGTTGCGCCATGCGACGCTCGTGGGCATGCGCGCGCCGGCTCCGCTGATGCGACCCGACCGCTGCGCGTCGAAGAAGAGGATCGACTTCACCAGCGCGTCCGTGTAGTTCAGCGTTGCGCCGCCGCCGCCGCCGCCACTGCTACTGCCGCCGGCGGTGGCAGTCTGACGAGGTGCAGGTGGGTGAGCAGCCACAGGCTCGCGCACGCGAGCGCGATCGGCCGCCATCGCCGCGCGGGTGGAGTGGGCGCCGTCAACGCTGGTGGACAGGGCTTGCCCATGGACGACACGAGCAGAGCACCCTCCGTGCGTCACAACAGCTGCATCGCGGAGTGCGATCTACGCTGGAGAAAAAAACACGCGGAAGCTAGTTATTTGCGCACGCATTGCTGTCCCTTCCACCTATGTCGAATCTGCGCAGCGGAAGGGATGCGGCCTACACCTCTGGGCTGGTCGTGCACATATAGGAGGGTGGGGGTATTTTGTGTACGTGCAGAAATTGAGGTGGTTGAACATATGATGCTTGTGGCGGGACAGATCTGCGGTCCGGAAAGGGAAGGCTGGCTGTTGAGATGTCTGCCACATGAATCGCGGCTCTGACATATCTGATCTACAAGAAATCTCGCTGGATAAGCATTCTCAACTAGGATTGAAGCACAGCACCTATGATTGAATACCATAAAAGGATAAGCACCTGAGACAATTTAAATAGTTGTTTTTGTTGGAAACAAGTAACCTAACGCTTCTGATGTGTCGGAACATCGAACTGTAAACGAAGCAAATAGCAACGAAGCAACGGCGACTCAACCATCCGAGGTTGACAAGAGAAGTAACCGCTAGAGGTTACGCGAAGGTCAAAGGTCAGCGACCTTTGACTTGACAAATACAGCGCTATCTGGAGCCATGCGCTTATGGCCGGTACTCATTTATAAGCGCACCCCCTAGAATGCCTGTACTTTTTATGAGCGCATCCCTTCCCCCCAGGGGGTAGTCTTTCCACTATTTTTTTTTATCTAAACATTTTTCCCTACACTAACATGATTTCTACACATGCCTCTCTACCACTAATCTCTTTACACATTAAGAATTACACCCCTAACTAGAAATCTACTCGTCGTCAGACTCCGGCTCCTCGCAGTTGTTGCCAAAGAAGCCGTTGGCGACGATCTCGTCATCGACGTCGACCTCGTGGGTCAGCTGGCTCCGCCTGTGCGCCATGGCAAGGTTGTCCTCACTGCCGTCAAGCGCGTTGCTGATGCCACAGGTGAGGAACGCCTTCTTGATCAGCTCTGGTGGCACGGCCTTCCAGTCCCGTGAAATCCACCTGAGCACCACCGCAGGGGGGGGCTTCTTGATGTTCCCTGCACCACAAGTCAGAGTGTGGGAGATGCTGTTAGCACAAGATACACCGGGAAACGAAGCAGCCGGAAAGGGATAAACGATGGGGTTCTTACCTGCAGGAGTCAGCCGCTCCTGGCCGTCCTCTTCAAACCAGGTCTGGTACTGCTGGCGGATGCTTGCTTTGAAGGACTTGTTGATCGAGACGTCCAGGGGCTGTACCTCCGCCGTACAGCCCGACGGGATCACCGCCGGAACGATGTCGAGGTCGACGAATTTCTCCTTCACTTCGTCCGTCAGATGACCGCGGTAGGAGTCAAGGACAACCATGGCACTCCTCGCCTGCCTGCCGAACCGAGGCCGGATGAAGGGCTTTACGCACTCCTCGAGCCAGCGCATGACGCCGTTGGCGTCCATCCAGCCTTTCGGGTGCACCGCCACGACCACATCTGCGATATCACAGACAGCCAAGAAACAGTCGTTATTATCACGACTGGAAAACCAAACAACTGCGGACCGTGGTGTGTTCTTACCTGGCGGGAAGTCACCCTTCGGCACCGTCTTGCGCTTGAAAAAGACCCACGGCTTGAGCTTCTCGCCGTCCGCCGTGCACGCCAGCATCACGGTCACGCGTTCCTTCTGGTAGCCCCCGCTCCTGATGGGCACTGAGCGAACGCCCGTCTCCTCCACAGTCGTCGTGGCGGGCATCTCCAGCCACAGCGGCGTCTGGTCGGCGTTGATAATCCAGCGGGTTTCGATGCCGCGCTCACGCCGCTTGTCACGAACGTACTGCTAGAAAGACTGGCACTGCGTCGCGACGTCTGCGCACACACGGACAATGTTAAGAGGCACTGGTTAGTCAACGACTGTAAATAAAAAACACAACAACGACACGGTGCTGTAATTCGGCACTTACGCTCGGCGGTCTTCTGGGCAAATCTCGTCTTCATGCGCACGCTCAGATTCCAACGTTTCCAAAACCGCTCCGACCACCGCTGGCTGCCCTTCCACTTTATGTCGGGGAACAGAACCTTCATGTACTCCTTCGACCACTCCTGCAGGCGACCAACGGAGACGGCAGTTCCTTTGCGGCGCCACTCGAGAAGCCTCGCGTAGACTTTCAGCTCCATCGGCCTGTACCACGATGACCTCCCGCGCCCATGCATCCGCTTCCGCGCTGAGTGCGCTTCCTTGAGCATGGCGGCAGCTTTCTTCCATTCCGCGAGACACTTGCGGTGGATTCCAGACTCTCGCGACAACGACCGCAGCGACACCGCCACATCCATGCGCCCAATCCACTGCAGCTTCTCCTGCGCGGTATAAGCGTTGCGCTTATGCTGCGACGGCTTGTGCCTGGGAGAGAGGGGGCGGGAATCACGGTTCTCAGAAGAGGGGTGGGGGCGTTTGCGGTTAACCGGAGGAAACGTAGGAATAGGGAGCTTCTCGGGAAGTCCGTCGCACGACAAATACTCCACACCGTCGTCGTCCTCGCCGCCCGGGACACCCTCGGGAAACACATCTGCCGCGTTGCCGGCCTCGGCGCCAGTGTCGGTGCCAGTGTCAGTGCCGGCCTCGGTGCCAGCCTCGGTGTCGGGCACATCGACGTCAGCGCCCACAGCAGATTCGTCCCACGCACAATCTTGCGGCTGGCCCCATCGTGGTGCCGGGGCCGGAGCTGAAACCCAGACGTCGGGGGGCTTGTTGCTGTCAGGTTCCGACAGGTACTCGTCGAACGCCGACGGGTGCAGGAGCGTCAGCACGGGAGGATTCGATGGGCCGGCAAACACGGGTGGATTCGGAGGAGCAGGTGGAGCTAGAGGTGCAGGAGGACACGGAGGAGATGGCGGCGCAGGCGGCGCAGGCGGCGCCGGAGGCTGCGGTGGCTCTGGGGGCGATGGTGGGATACGGCTATACCAGCCGTCAGCGTCCACATGGAAGGCGGGCCTAGGCTTCTTCTTAAAAAGGAAGTGGGTGCCAGTGAATTCCGCCATGGCTTTCGCAGCCTGGCGGGCGAAACATGCTAAACTGATTCAGAACGAGCAAGAAATGAGAAGAAATGGACTTCAGACGGGACCCCTGCGGGGAAGCGGCTCGCCCTCCTCGTCAATGATAGACGGGTACCCCCACAGCCTGAACCCGCAGAGGATGAAAATGGGCGGCACACATGCTGCGGTGGCAGGGAATATTCGACCCCCTTCTAGAGGGATCGGCTGAGCTGTCCCTGCCTGGCATCGCATGACAGGGGATTGGGCCGCACGGCAGCTTCCGAGTCAGCGTTGGCAGATGCGTTGCTCAGGGACAGGATTTGTGCGGTGGGAAATCGAGTCGCTGCTGTTTTCGCCTGCATTTTATGCACGAAACCGACGTGAACGTTTGATGGGCGAATTCGCCTTAATGAGAGCTTCGATTTGGTACCCTTACAAACAAAATTCATTTTTTTCCGTTTTATAAGCGCCCTTTCCTCAATTACAAGCGCCCCCCCTAAAAAAATCAATTTTATTATAAGCGCATATGCGCTACTATCCGGGGTGATACGGTATTCCTTGTAATCTTATAAAAGGCTTGTATTACTTTTCTATAATCAATCTATCTTGCCCTCACATACTAGCGCAAGGTGGTTCAACACTTCATCATTGAAACGCTTCCGCAATTACAATACTTCTACTCAGAATTTAGCCTTACAAAGATCCTAAGGGCTTTTCCCAGCCCAACATGGTATGAGAGCTGTCAAGGCAAATTCAACTACATTCAAGTCCCCTACAACATCAGAAAGCATGGCAACGCAGAAGGAGAGAAGCTCCTCCAACGGCTCTCCTGGCACTACTCCTACTCCACCTCCAGCCTCCGGCCTACAGACAGAGGGAGGAATAGCAACAAGACCAGCAGCTGAGTCTACTGAGACTCCCGCAAACCAAAGACAGGCTTCGACCCAAGCATGATGGAGAAGTTTTTCTCCTTCATGTCCTTCTACGAACGCATCAGCAAGCGGCACCTGCGCAGTCAAACATCAGCAACAACAACAACGATGTTACACCCACGAGTCTCGATGGTTCATCCTATGCCCGCGGAAACCAGCAGCAACCCACCTTCGCTCCGTATGAGCCTCAACGTGGCTCGATCAGCTTCATGCCGCACCAACAGCCTCGACCTGGACAGGAGAAGACACTGGACGCACTTCAGGTTAAATCGCAGTTCGCGCATGTCTTGAAACTACAGACATCAACGCCTTTCGATGACAAAGATTTCTATACTTGGTCATTCGAGTTTGAGCTGATGATGGAAGGTGCACAGATTATTGGATTCTTCGACGGATCCCTGCCATACCCAACACACGGGACGCAGTACGACAAACAATTGTATACTTATCAGTCGATGATGGCATACACGATCCTGCTGAGGAAGATAACTCCAAACCAGCAGCAGAACATCCGGTCTTATCGGGGATACGGCAACTCCGCCGAGCTCGCGTACAACCATTTGAAGAACCTGTACCAAGCAACAGACAGCGTCAATCAGAGTCGGTTAATGGCATAGCTAACAACAGTAGAAATGAAACCCGGTGAAAAAGGGATGGAGTATATCAGCCGTTGTCGCGGATTGCGCGACAGACTCCTTCGATGCGGAGGCTCAATATCTGAAGAAGCCTTCGTAACAGTTGTCATCAGTGGCCTCGGTCCTCATTGGCGCTCCACTCGAGCCATTCTCCGAGCCCACGGGAAAATCTCCGAAGCGGTGCTCTGCGCTGAAATCCACGCTGAACAGTAAGACATGGACCTGCATGAAGAACGACACAAGAAAAGAACGTCAACACCTGCGTTTGCCTTTCACACTCAACGGCGCTACAACAACAACAACTACCGACAGAACAAGCATAAAGGACAACAACCCGT